CAGCCATAGCTTGAAGGCGCCGAGAGCTTCAGACTTGTGAGAGATGTTCTTGTGCCAGACATATTGAGTAGCACCGTCGATGAAGGTAATTATATAGCGGTAGTCATTGCCGCTAATATCTTCTGCTTCCTGTGGCATGAAGAGTATGTCGCTGAAAACGACATCCATTGGTGAGTACTTTGTAGCACCTGGAAAGTGCGACGGGAACGGAGCGTGACTCAGGCGAGCTCCGGGGCAGATGGTGCACAGTAGTTGACGATTGTTAGGTCGAAGCTCTTGGTCGTTGGTTAGAATGAGAGCATCCTTGTCAAAAACCGAGGCTTTAATTGAATTGTTGAGAGCTTCTTGTAAGGGATGACCTAACCGCTTGTGCCAGATTTCTGCTGTAGTTCTGTGTCCCTTTGAGTCAGAGTGAAGGAAGAAGTCCGGCGAAAGATGAATTGTTGGCGAAGAGTGAACGCAGCGGCCGGTGCCGAAAGGCTGGATGAACCCGGCTTCTTCTGCAGTTTCAACCCAAGGTATGCCGAGATGTCGGCGACGCGCCCAAGCATCATGTACGATTAATTATTTTTTGCCCCATGTGCGTTCAACCTCCATAGGTTCTTTGACTGTAGCAGATGTCGGTTCTTGATTGTCGAAACCCTAATTTCCATCTCCAGATGCCCATGTACTTTGAACTATGTCTGTTGCTGCTGATGTTGCTTCTGTTGGCTCTGCTGCAGGTTCGTCGAGGGAGTTGGTGCGAGAAGGCTGAGGCGTGATGCAGAAGACATTGAGACCACGATGGTCTTGGCGTTGATGACCTGTTTCCCAGTGGTGATTCCAAGGAGTAAGTGAGACGTTTTTCTCACAGTCGCTAGATGCCTTGACAGGTGAAATCTGTATAACAAAAACGTCGTCTTAAATTTTTGTGATGCCGACTAAATTACTTTTGTCTGCCTTCTTGTCGCCCTGGTACAACTCCGTGAGCATCGTGTTGGCGGTGCTGACGAAGTAGATGCCACTTTCCATCAGCTGCGCTTGTGATAGCAGGTTGAAGCCAAGTCCCGTAGCAACGAGAACCTTGTTCAAGTGAAGTGAAACTTCTGTGTCGTCTGACTCGAGTATCACATCTCCGATTCTGGTTGCTTCAATAACCTGATTATTAGCAACTTATATGTTGTACTTCTCTCTGTTTGGTAGATCTCGCCAGTTGAGAAGATATTGGCTTGAAGATGCCATGTGGTGACCGCAGCAGCTATCAAGAAACCAAGCGTTAACATGCTTAGCGATATGGGCGTATGGCTGCACGTTCAATCGTCGAGGAAACCCGTTCGGCTGCTCTGATTCTTCTTCGTTAACGACTGCTGGTTCTGGAGTTTCTGAACGAGGATGAAGACGTGGAGGTCGGTTGGCTGGTCCTTCCTCCATGTCACTGTCACTGTCATCGTCTCGTCTGCTCCAATAGCGTATACCACTAGACCAGTGTGGTCCAATCATGCAATTAATAATTGCCTTTCCTTTTGCAGAAGCTGAAGGCGGTGAGATAGTCTTGACAGGGGCGGCTTCACCCGACTTCTGCTAATTCCTGTTCTTCAGTTTCCGACACTCTTCAATATTATGACCTGCTCGTTTGCAAAACTTGCAGAAGCCCTTGCCTCCTTTTCTTGTCTGCTCCCATTGATTTGATGCACCTCTTGTCTGCTCCTCTTGACTTTATCCACCAATGTAGAAGCTTAACCCACTCCTGGTTTTGCCTCCTTTTGCGTTGTACAGGTCCAAGTCCTGCTGCTCTGCCATCAGAGTAGCGCAAAGAGAAGTTAGTAAGATGTTCCCTTGGGAACGAAGAAGGGACTTGCACTGCCTCCATTCGGGTCCAAGTCCAGCCAGAAGGATAGTGACGAAGCGCTCATTAATGAGATTTTCTTCGCACTTGTTGAGTTGATCTCGAAGGGTTCTGCACCTGTTGATGTAGCTGCCGGCTTTTTCTCCCGAAAGCATTTGCATTGCTGTAATTTGACTTAACAGGTTGCTCTGTGTGACGAAATCTTGTGCTTGATATAACTTGCGCAGGTAATCCCAAGCATAATAGGCTGGAGCAAGTGGTTGAAGCACCAAACTCCCAACTGCTCTTCAGGTTAGAGATTCTGCACCAGTAATGTATAGGCCATAAGAGAATACTTGTAATAACGTGCTTGTTCTTCGGTTGATCCTGTCTCTGGAGAGCAGATTGTACTGTCGAAATATCCCCAGATACCAGAAGATTGCGCAAGGAGTTCGAACTTGAATCCCCAAATATAGAAGTCGCGGCCATCAAAGTAAGTTGAGGTCTTCAGCTTGATTTACGACGGCTTCTGCAGCGTATGGTCTTGCTTCTGGCATTTGATGTTGTTGCTGCTGTGGTTGTTGGTGCTGTGATTGAGCAGGTCGCCCATGGAAGGCAAAAGACCCAGCAGATTCATATCCAGGGGCTGAAGGCCCAGCGGCAACAGTAGCTCTTGCATAACTCGAGTTATCAAGG